CTATTTGACAGTTGCGTGTACTCTGGGGTGTGGAATACCTTAATTTTATGGGGAACATCCTGTCCATGTGTAATACTTTATATATTTCAACAGATGACATTACACAAATTTTTCTTCTGTTAAATGAATGATATGTATATCATCATAATTTGCTATTTATATAAACCACATTTTGGTATAATAATTATTTACCATATCAACATTGAATATTATGAATGTAGAATGAAATATGTCTACAGTATGATTGGTTTGAATCATTTAATTTATAAGATTTAGGAATCAAAATTTGTAATTATTTAAAACCCCACATTGAAATTGTTTTATATCAAATCAATACACCCAAATTTTCAATTATTTTACATGCCCAACTTTTATTTTTGTTGTAAAGAAGTGTAACTTGAAACAACAGTATATCATATAAACATGATAAAGAGAAATAAAGATTAAAGTTATATCATGAATATTGGTCATGATTTGTAAAACTCAGAACTGTCAAGTAAATTTAAGACACGATTCAAAATGTTCAGAATATAATGTCAAGCCATACTGAGAAAAAATAAGAATGTCGAGAAATTTCAAGACCGTATTCAAATGTCAAGAATTTGTCAAGAAATTTTAAGACCATATTCAGAATGTCTAGAATATGTCGAGTAAATTTCATACAAATTTAATATAAATGAGAATTTGTCAAGAAAAATTAAGACACAAGTCATACTTTTGGAGAATGTCGAGTAAAAGTTCATGCAAATTAAGACATAAACTGGTCTTTTCAGACTTTTAGACTTTTGTAGTGCTCCCAATTGATACGATATTCCCGGGCTTGTATTTCCTATCATGATTTCCTTGGCAGAGGATTGCTGCTCACAAGGAAGTTATTAAACCAAGAGTCCAAGAGTTCCAAATGGTGAAGTTGAAATCATCCCTTCGTAAATTTTACGGACGCCATCACGAGTTGGTTGACCGTTATGGAATAACCGTTTCACAGATGAGGTCAAGGACAATGGACATGTGACAGACGGAAACTTCGTAACATAAGGCATCTATATGTCATAGGTGCATTTTCTCCTCAGGTTTTTAAAAGTATTTTTAGTACTTTTATCATTTTTCTAATTTCATATTCTAATTTTGCATCTTGAATAATCTTGCAATCAAAAGATTGTGTTCCATAAGGAGTATATTTATTTACAGTTTACTTATTTAATCTTAACTGAACTTTTCTTAATTTAATTACCTTCAAACTAATTAGAAATATTTGAATATGTCACATATATTTTTGAGAATTACTCCATTTACAGTAATTGTGCAATTTGCTAATTAGGCAGACAGATGCCATTTGATAATTCATTTTTAATCCTTTAATTGTAATCTTTAATTAATTTACTATTCATATTTTTAACTTTGACATTTTATGTAATTGCTCGAATCAATTATAAATTTTCTTGTCACATTGAGCTCTTTTCAGTTTTTGGTATACATAGTTCGTAGAAATTTTAATACTTCACGAAGTCGCAGTCACAGTTAAAGTAAGAACCGCTACAACATTCAGAAGCGTGAAGGGGTTGGAGTGATCCTGCAGAGTACCCTCTGTTCCAGTCTTGGTGATTTCAACTATCAGATACTAACGATTGCTTACCAATCATCTGAAACATTGGAATGCCATCAACCCGACAACAAAGGAGAGACTAACAACTCATCGGATCAAGACCTGCAACCCCAGATCCAGTTCTATCTTAGATAAATTACTATTTGGACAATTTCGTCTGAAAGTGCATTTCGAGCAATTCCAGCTGACAATTCATCAAAGTGATTAGACAATTCATAAGAGCAGTGACTTTAAATCTATAGTGCATTTGTTTTAATTATTTGGATTTATCTTTGGCATATATTGTTATTTATTAAATTGTTAAATGTTTTAGATTATTAACTTTGCCACTGGTCTGTCATAAGTCTTTTAATAGACTGACCTCCTGTCCCTTGGGTCAAGCATGCACAGTTAGTCCCCCTAGCAAAAAGCATGCAACACTGGCCCTCAGTGACAGATATACAAAGTATGAAGCATCCAGGTCTTCCACCTTCTAAAATATAAAGCTTTTAAGAAGTTAGTTAGCGTAGCCGCTGCCGCTGGATCACTATCCCTATGTCAAGCTTTCTGCGACAAAAGTCGCAGGCTCGACAAAAATGGTGGGTAAAAACCCCAATTTGCGAATTCTTATCTGGAGCTCTGTAATTTGTGAATTGACACTTTTAACATAGCTTCTTAAGATTTCATGATATCAGCCAAAAACTGCAAAAATTGGAAAAAACAAAAGACAATACAATAAGTAGAAGGATATATAGTTTTATACAAGGAATCAAAATTATTGTAACATCTTAATTTTGTAAATGGTTTTTATTCAAATTAGTTCTTATTTTTGCTTCCAATCACTTTAGACGCAACCGGAGTCCAGAATCAATTTATTCAGCAGTCAACTTATCATCTCTTGTGTTTTTTTAGGATGCTTTTATATATAAATATACATCTCTGTAACCAAATATTTTCCCACCAGCATTCTACTTCAATGGACTCATAATTAAAATGATAAATGCATCACTTGTAAATTATTAAGTCAGTGATTTCGTTACCATAAACATGATAAATTGCTTAAAACTTTTACTAAATTCTTTCATAGATACAAAGATTTGATAAGTAAATTTGGCTGTACCTGTAGAAAACTTATTAAAAACGGTATTTCACATTCTAAATTTTACGATAATACTGTACTAAAAGCGCGGATATCACTATCTGATCCGTGTAAACTCATCGAACCTTTAAATAAACTTATAAGTAAAGGTTATCTTACCAATGTTGTAATTAGATCTTTGAATATAGTTTACATTGGCACAAATATCGATTTTGCCATCAGCAAATTAAAACTTAACATAACATAATTTGTATTCTTTTCAGACATTTTTTTTTGGGATGTATAAATACACATTCACATTCATTTTCTATACAGAGATTACTCTATCTATATATTACATTATGCATATTTATTAACAGGTTAACTCCTAAATATCCTACTGCCTGTCGATACTTATATTTTGGCATTGCACAAGTCACGTCTTCTTTGACTGTCCATGACGTTAAAACACTAAATCCCTGGGATGTGTTTTAGTTGATTTTAGTCTCTGATGCATGATTTTTATTATTAATTGCTTTTGGCTTTTAACTAGCTTTTGAGTAGTTTCAAATCGTACTTTCGTGTAAATTTGACCTGTTGATACAATTTGTAATGTATTTTTGTTATTCAATATTTACTTTTTCAGTGTTATATCTAGTCTCATTATTTTTAATATATACCACCTTTGATAAGTGTGATAAGTGTTTAGTATGACGATAAATTTTCACTTTTGTTCTCGTACTAGGAACAACAAAATTATTTCCATACTCCATGTATACCTTACAACAAAATTATTTTTATTTACCTGTGTACGTTATTTTATTTGGTGGCATTTTGTCCAAGGTTATGGTACGTTGTCTTTCTGGTATTGTTTTACATCTAATCCTCTTGTTTTATTAATTTTGTATTTACATCATTGTACATTGTGTCATATATCAAATTTATTCGTTCAGTGTATGTTCACTTGTTTTTGTTAATATGTCTTTTGATTGAGTTAAGCCATTTCAATTGATATTTTATAGTGTAAAATTGAGAATGGAAATGGGGAATATGTCAAAGAGACAACAACCCGACCAAAGAGCAGACAACAGCCGAAGGCCACCAAAGGGTCTTCAACGAAGCGAGAAAATACCGCACCAGGAGGTGGTCCTCAGCTGGCCCCTAAATAAAATTGTGTACTAGTTCAGTGAAAATGGAGGTCACACTAAACTCCAAAACATATAAATGAACCAAAATTTAAAAAAACATATAAGACTAACAAAGGCCAGAGGCTCCTGACTTGGGACAGGCGCAAAAATGCGGCGGGGTTAAACATGTTTTGAGATCTCAACCCTCCCCCTATACCTCTAGCCAATGTAGAATAAAGAAACACATAGCAATACGCACATTAAAACTCAGTTTAAAAGAAGTCTGAGTCCGATGTCAGAATAGGTAACAAAAGAAACTATTATAAGCAAAATGACAATGATACATAAATGAACAAAGGACTACTAGCAGTTACTGACATGCCAGCTTCAGACCTCAATTAAACTGATTGAAAGATTATGTCTTCAACATATGAAAATCAAGTACAATCCCTCCCGTTAGGGGTTTAGTATCATACCATCATAAAATATATGAGAAGAACATAACCCGTATCATGCCAACAACTGGTTTTAGAATAAATGTGTTTATTTCCGATGTAAAGACCCTATGAGTGAATCAATATTAATACCAAAATATGCAATCCTTAATGACTTGACAACAGTATCGTAACTATATCCTTTCCGAATAAGTCTGTTTAAAGGTTTGGTTAGCTTTTGAGGTGAATGCCGACATTTTTGTGCTTTGTAAAGAATATTACCATAAAATATTGGATGTAAAATACCTGAACGTATAAGATGTCTGCATGTTGATTTATATTTATGTGTCTTTCTATATTGTGATGTTATACTATTGTTTCAGGTAGGGTAAAGGTTGGCGCCTATTTAAACGTTTAAACCCGCTGCATTTGTTTGCACCTGTTCTAAGTCAGGAACCTGATGTTCAATGGTTGTCGTTTGTTAATGTGGTTCATAAGTGTTTCTTATTTCTTGTTTTTTTATATAGATTAGACCGTTGGTTTTCCTGTTTGAATGGTTTAACACTAGTCACTTTTTGGGCCCTTTATAGCTTGCTGATGGTTGTGAGCCAAGGCTCCATGTTGAAGGCAATACTTTGACCTATTTTGGTTTACTTTTACAAATTGTGACTTGGATGTAGAGTTGTCTTATTGGCACTCATACCACATCTTCTTATATCTATGAATATCATATTCAAAATCTACATATGCCAGTTACAATTACCAGTAAAAGTACTTACCCCAACTGTCAATGAACACTTTGGGCTAGGATACACTTTTGTCATATGTAAAATAACTTGCAGAAAACCACTTTTGGCAGAAAACTTAATGTAAGTCCCGTTTGGAGGATCTGAAATATAAAAAATAAATAGATAATGTGTCCATGGGACACAGATGATGCCATGCATGCATATAACATTATAAAGGGCCATAACTAGAGAACTGTAAAAGTGATGCCACCCAAACTTGATCTGTTTTATGGTTATAAACATTGTGTATAAGTTTCATAACATTTGGTTGAGGCAAACTAGAGAACGGAAACAAAAAATATCAGCAATTTTTCCATTTATAAAGGGGCATAACTAAGGAACGATAAAAGTGACACCATCCAAATTCAGACTTGATCTGTGTTTTGTGGTAATAAGCTTTGTGTATAAGTTTCATAACATTTGGACAAGGGAAACTAAAGTTAGAGAATGGAAACCAATCTCGGGATGTATGGATGGACGTAGCTAGGGACGGACCGATGTATGTACGTACAGACGTACAGAAGGACAAGGATAAACCGTAATGCCCCCTCCACTATGGGGGTATAAAAATAACTTACTTAATCAATTTCTACCTAACCTTTGTAACATTTTAAAAGTAACTTTCAATTTTTTGAATGGAATATGATATATATCGTCAATAAATCTCAATAGACAACTTTCGAGTTTGTTGCATTTCCTTCAAAAACTTTGGTTTTAATGAACATCATTCGGGCATTTAGGGACATCGTCACTTCCTTCCTATGTTGATCCAGTGGTTGAAAAATTATGATGCTATATTGCATGAATTATATATTCAGCAAATTAAATTCTTACAATTGATAATCAGCAATGCTGTCATTAGAGAATCGTGATTATGGAACAAACATTATTTCTAGTTTATCCTGCATAATGAAAATCAAGTAGACGCTTGATGAACTTTAATAGTGGAGGGATACAGGCGATCCCCTCTATCTGGTAAATGAAGTCATAAAGGCACGCATAATTGACGAACTTTTCCGGTGAAGGAAAGTGGTCTAATATTACATAATGGTTACATGGGAAGTCATTGTTACAGGATTTCCCAGTCCAACAATAAGTGTTAGTTTCTTGTGTGAAAGAAATCCTTTAACCATTCACTTTTCTGATGTTATTATATGTAACAACAATAGTTATTGTCAAGACCCCACGGATGTTGCATCAAAATGAAGCTAGAGATAAAACAAACAGATATATTTCCTTGCATTTTCTACTTGATATAAAAAGAAATTCAATGTCATAAAAAGAATAACTAATCCATGAATTCAAATATAGAAAAATATCCACACAATTGACCAGACTACAATTTCTGTGATCATTCACTCATGTTCTACACACATTTGTGATTTAATGTAATGTTCATTCATTCATCATGTTCATCGACTCTGTAAATGAATTTCTTTTATATTTGAATTTTTGGATTAGGTTTTCCTATTGTAATATTTATTCCTGAATTAAAGAATCTCTCTCTATATATAAAGAAGTTAATTGTTTAGCAATAAGCAAAACACCAGAATTAAAGTAAAATAATTACAGTGAAAACTATCTTTATCTAGTACCAACTTCTTGCTGAAAGACTTAAAGTCACAGGAACAAGTATAATTAGCATTAACATCTGGTTCTGCTAGATCTTTAATTACTAGTGAAAACTGAAAGCTATGATGATTTATATTTTCATCATATTTTTTTTTGTCAAATGAATGTCCATTGTAAATAAGTCCTTCAATGTTAAGCGGACCACCTGACCACTTTCGTACTTGACATTCCTCAGGATTTGTAGATATCTCTTCTAAATGACATGTTAGTTTAGTATTTTGTCCAAAAACTGCTGGTGTCGATACATTCCAATAAACTGAAAAAATTATAAAAATAAATTAACAAATAAACTATCAGGATTGTGGTTCTTACATAAACCTTCCCCTTTCAGTAACAAATATACAAACATACATGTATCTGGTATTCATTTGTCTTTCCTAAAGGCACCAAATTGAATATTGATTATATTTTTTCCATAAGGCACTTTGTAATTTGTTTGCATGCTTGGCAAAATAAAGCTGCAGAAAGAAATTTTACAAAGACCAATATAATGATTAACTCCCTTAATTACTAGATATAAGAAGATGTGGTATGAGTGCCGATTAGACAACTCTCCATCCAAGTCAAAATTTATAAAAGTAAACCATTATAGGTCAAAGTACGGTCTTCAACACAGAGCCTTGGCTCACACCAAACAGCAAGCTATAAAGGGCCCCAAAAATTACTAGTGTAAAACCATTCAAACGGGAAAACCAACGGTCTAATCTATATAAAAAACGAGAAACGAGAAACACTTATGAACCACATCAACAAACGACAACTACTGAACATCAGATTCCTGACTTAGGACATGTGCAAACAATTGCAGCGGGTTTAAACGTTTTAATGGTACCAAACCTTCACCCTTATGATCCTGAAACAATAGTGTAACATCACAACATAGAAATACACACACTATAAAATATCAATTGAAATGGCTTAACTCAATCAAAAGACATATTAACACCAGTGAACATACACTGAACAAATGAATTTGATCTATGATACAATGTAAATATGCACAGATTACATTGATCTTCAAGCCCATTTTAAGATTTTTGACTTTTTTAATTGTCAATTTTGTGCATCAAAACTTTGGAAAATAATAAATCCATTTTACAATTAGATATTTAAAGTTATAAACAAAATATATAAACCAGAAAGGTCAATTCTTGGGTTTTGTTTGCGTTATTGTTTTTTATCAGTCTTTAGTTTCCTATGTACAAATGTGCATAGTGTTTTGTAGATTTTTTTCTCTCCCTTTTTTGTTTTTGACTGTTATGTTCTCAGTTTCTTGATTTATATCCATTTTTTTAGAAATTTACCTGTGACGTTACTTTTTGTGGCGTTGATCCATTTGTGTTACAGACACACACTTCGTAATTCTATTAAGTTGTTTTTGTGTACTGTCCTAAATTATTTTAGTTATCGTTGTTATTCTGTGGTTTACATGTCGAAATGTACAATTATATTATTTATTTATGTATTTCTCTGTCTTTGGTGTTTTTGCATTTATTTGTACTCTGTTCCCGTCATGTAATGTTGTCATTTTAGCGGTATATTAAGATTGCCATAAAGCGCGGAGGTTTGGCTAGCCACAAAATCAGGTTCAACCCACCATTTTTTCTTAAAATGTCCTGTACCAAGTCAGAAATTTGGCAGTTGTTATTTAATAGTTCGTTTCTATGAATGTTGCATTGTTGTTTGTTTTTTGTTGCACTTCTGTGTTCTGTTATTTCGTTGTTTTCCTCTTACAGTTGATGTGTTTCCCTCGGTTTTATATTGTAACCCGGATTTGTTTTCTCTCAAACGATTTATGACTTTTGAACAGCAGTATACTACTGTTGCCTTTATTTCTCTATTGAATGTGCAAAAATTAATTGTCAATTTGGAATCTTCCACCACTTTTTTAAGATTTTTAGCTGAAATACAATGTATCATTAGAAAAAAGATGATGCTCCTGCTTCAAAAATATAGTGCCACAACACATTGAACTAATTTAAATAAAACAGTTTTGTATAATTTGAAATTGTTGTGTCTGTTTAAAAGACACTTTTGATGCCCTGCCAAAAAAAAATTCTGATCATATGCAGACTCTATATATAATAATTGAACAGAGTTCCAATGTCCCCTGTGTTGCACATAATTACTATCTGTTCATTTTTAGCTCTTTACAACTTTTAAAAATGATCTTACTAGAGAGTTGAAGACTAATGAGAGCAATTTCCGATTTATTTAATATATCCAAGGGAAACTCATTAGAAATATTTGATCTGCACTTATTTTTGAAATCGTCTGATACATAGCTGAACATTATAAATATTATTGATATAAATTTGATAAAAATCTGTCAAACATTGTACATGCTAGAGCACTAACAATGCATATTTATTAGTTAGAAATAAAGTCTGTGGAGGAATATTCGGAAGCTAAATTATTGTTCATTCGGAACACCTATTCATCTTATCTGTATTACCTTCCTGCAATTAAGAGCACCTCCATACTGTGTATCTAAGATGATTTAAAACTTGGCAATAAAGAATTTTCGAAGATCGCTAATTCACTTATCTGATATATAATAAACAATCTATAGATCCTGTTCAAACATGTATATTTATTGTAAAGTTACATTTTATGCATTGCAAGGGTTCACTGACTTGAGCAAAGTTGACAGTTGTACCGTTTGATAAACAAGTGAAAGTTAAATGGTCAAGATTTAATTATAACGACCCATGGTATCAAACATCTGGTAAAAGGGAGGGTCTGAACACGGAAACACGTGAAATAACAAATCGCAAAAATGTTGCACGGAAAAAAAACTCTGGAAAAACGAAGCCAAGGAATAAAATCGTAAATATTAAGGAAAAAAGTACCAAACGTTATTACTCATCCGTTCTTGGGGATCATGCAGTCATTGTAAATGGACATGGCGACCCTGCACGTGGTCACCTTTTAGCGTCCGTTAGTTGAATCCGATTTATTATATAATACAATAGGCTATTAATAAATATCTTGGGACCAGTTAATTAGTTTATAATTTAAAACAATATTTGGGCTGACTTTGAATTAGACCCGGTTTACTTTTTAATCAAATGCGGGACAAGCACGAGAAAATAAGAGTACCAACACGAAACACGGAAAATAATTATTGCAAAACACGAAGCACGCACATCGAACCAAACATGAGAAAACGAGAAATAAAACGTCGAAACACGGAAACACGTGAAATAAAAAGGCCAAAAACGTTGCACAAAAATAACCCTTTACCACCCTCTAAATAGGCCATACTAGATGTCGACACCTCATATCAGAACTTAAGTAGATGGTCAATTTCGTTTGCAAGGTTAAAGAAATCTTCACCTTGCTCTAATTTGCCTGTGAAGACCATAAAACCGTCATCCCTATTGACAGTGTAATTTGATGTTTTCTCTCCATTGGAACTTATCTAAGATTTTTATGAATAGGGCAGACATATGCAGATCTGTGCATGTTGGTGACAATGGGCGCTCCTATAATGTGTTTGTATAACAGTCCATTAACTCAAATTCATTGTTTCTAAAAATTAATTTAACAAATGCAGTTAAATCTATTTTGTTGTGAATCTTTAAAGTCTATTCTCCTGTGTGTCAATAAATTCTAATGCATTGATAACAGTTTCTTCTAAATTATCAATGATCATATTTGTGTACATTGACGTACATCATAGGCAATAAGAATGCATACTTTTTTACCTCGTGTGACTCTATTTTATTAATGAAATTTTTTTGTATCTTGAATGTAAAAGTTATGCCTCTTCAATAATTGGATGTTGGATGTGTACTAATTGATAATTTAGTCTTAGATGCATGATATTTTTAATTAGTTGTTATAGTGGCTTTGAACTAGCTGTCAGTAACTGCGAGTACTCTCGGATCTGTACTTAGTGTCTATTTGTTGTTGGGATATACAAGTACCCGGCCACGTCCACTCTGTGTAGTATTTCTGTTTGTATCCATCTGATGAGTTAAGCTTTTTTCAACTGATTTTTATAGTTCGTTCTCATTTTGTACTGTTACACCACTGTCCCAGGTTAGGGGGAGGGTTGGGATCCCGCTTATATGTTTAACCCCGCCACATTCTGTATGTATGTGCCTGTCCCAAGTCAGGAGCCTGTAATTCAGTGGTTGTCGTTTGTTGATGTGTTACATATTTGTTTTTCGTCCATTTTTTGTACATAAATTATGCCGTTAGTTTTCTCGTTTGAATTGTTTTACATTTGTCATTTCGGGGCCTTTTATTGCTGACTATGCGGTATGGGCTTTGCTCATTGTTGAAGGCCGTACGGTAACCTATAGTTATTAATTTCTGTGTCATTTGGTCTATTGTGGAGAGTCGTCTCATTAGCAATCATACCACATCTTCTTTTTTATATCTATAATTAAATCAAGTAAGTATATCTCTCGCGGGAGAGTTACACTTATTGATGATTGGTCGGTAACGAACATTAATGTGTCCTGCTAGCTGACCAGTTCGCAATGCCTCATTACTTATTTCTAGATTAATTTTATGAATTTTTGGAAGAAGGTACATGTGTCCTCCATGTTTTGAATTATTATTATTCTTTAAGAAATTATACGTCTGGGAATCTTTTTTTTCTCTCCTTGCTTTATATTTAACACTTCTCTCAACATGCCAAGAAAATATTATCCTCCACACACATGGCCAAGATAACACTGATATATAATTTCTTATTCAGTTGAATTAATAATAAGAATAAAAAAGTTCTAAGGTTCACGTATTGTCTTTTTTTTTTTAAAAAGCAACTTGTTCATACAATCAATGTTTCAAAGGAGCATAACTCTTTTAAAAATAATTGATCAGCACTGATTTTCGAACTCGTAAAGATATCGCTGATATATAAAACTATGATATAATTTTTATATAATTCTGGCAAAAATTGTACACATGAGAGCTAGCAATGCAATTTTCCATATAAATAATGTTTCCAAGGGGTATAACTCTTTTGAAAAAATGTGCTACGCCTGAAGCAGGAGGATACGACCACAGAGGTCAAACTCTGAACAGTTGGGGCAAGTATGGACACAGTATTCAAGTTTGATACAGTTCTGAATTTGGATAGCGATTAAATATTTGACACATTATAGATTTCTGACACAGAATAAATGTGGTCTGAGATAACTTAAAAATTTGAAATGGGACAACTTATCTACTTAATGGTCCAATATTCAAAATCTAATTCCATGTTTAGATTCACCATTTAAAATAACATGAATTCAA